GCTGTGCCGCCAAACAGCTGATCGGCACAGCGCGGCAGCCATTTTGATGTAAATGAAGCGGCGATTATTTAAATCGCCGCTTCATTTCCCTATGTCTAGAAACCTAATCTTCATGGCTCCGTCGACAGAGCCATGTAGTCTAGACATACCCTCACAGTGGGAGCTATGTGCTTGGAGTTCATTTCTGGATCAGAGCCCAAACCAGAGGCTGGTATGTGCATGGTCCTGTGGGGAATGATGGGGATCGCCGGTTGGCGGAGAGACAAATTCAGTCTCCATTCACACCTGGGCCTGCAGGGGTCGCAGGCCGAGCAGCTGCGCAGGAGATGAGGCACCAGTTTTCTGTTGGGATGATGGGGTGCACTGAAAAGAAGAGGTGCTTTTCCCCAAGGCCACAGCAGAGAATGAGTTTTCATGGCCCAGGCACTCCACCAATTAGTGTCCATTGCCATAACTTCTGAGACCACTGTATGGACTGGTCACCCCCAGGCCCAGGTCTTGAACCACATTCAGGTTGGTTCAGCTGCCTTGCAGTGCAAAACAGAATCATTGTGATTTTGGGCTGTGGGTTTGGTTGTTTTAAATTAAGTTTTTCAGGCTTGGTGTATAGCAGGCGTTACTTTAGAAAGAACAACCCGGGAGAGCCAAAGTGGCAGGTAGTACGGTGCGTCTTGGGCTGTGAACGTTTTTCTTTATTCTTCAACTGAAATTCTCGTGGCTCCGTGCTTGGAGATGTTTCAAGGTCTTGAAAGCAAGAAGCCTTGAGTAAGGTAGGCCTGTTGTGGGAACGAGGGGGGAGAATAAATAGTGGTGTGGGTTTAACCTTCTCTTCCGGCACTCTCTGGTCTGGCAACATCTGTGGTCCAGCAGGATTTTATTTAGCTGGATGTCCACTTATCATGGGTGTGGCCAAGTTTCCCACAGTCCCTTAAAGTTTTTCAGCCACCAGTCCTGGCTCTCCATGTTCTGCGCTGTGATTTAGCTCTGATTCACCCCTACATACCTTCTAAGAGCCCAGGAAGCAGGGGAAGTGTTGGCAATGCTGCTAGACAGTATTGACCTCCCGTGGTCCGGCAAATTCTCTCGTTCGGCACCAGTCAGATGCCGAGGATGCCGGGCTAGGGAGGTTCAACCTGTACTCTGCCACAACTCAAGTGCCGCCTATTTGTGACACCAAAATGAGGCCCAGTCGGTTGTGTGCCTCTTCAGATACTGCACCTCTCCTTTCCATCTGTCCCTCTAGATTTTTGTCTTAGCACCCCTCTTTTGTGCTTTGCTCAGCAGTGAAACAGATAACAGGGCTGGAATGTAGATGTTCACCACTAGGCTTCAGTGTTGTTAATCTCCATGATGAACCAGGATGGTTTCATCCTGGGTGCTAAGCAACCTGCCTTCTGGGGCTAAAGATGGGCTTCTCGTGCATGTCTCCATGGCCGGAAGAATGGTGCACCCAGGCATTAGGGTCGAGCTCCAGGAGCAGCTGTCGAGCACTTGGGGTTACCTTGTTTGGGGGGAGGGGGAACGAGAGGAAGGCGTTCCAGTCAGTGAGCTGCTCTGGGGTTGGAGGCAGCAGGTGGGCCAGAGCAGTTGTGGACCTGGAGAAGTGCTTTGTTTTTGAAGGTCATGGGGAGAGAAGACACCCAAAAGGCTGTGATCTGAAAGTCACACCAGCCATGCTCGTGGTAAACTCTGCAGCCCAGCTGTGCACAGTATGAAGCACTGGCATGGGTTGCTTAGGGAGGGGGTGAAATCTCCATCTTTAGAGGTTTTTTAAGTCCTAGCTTGACAAAGCGCCCATGGCAAGGGCTTCAGGTAGCTTGCCTTCCCAAACTGCCAGGCTTGCCCCCCACACACACTCTGCCACCAGAATGCCTGCTGTAGGCCTATTGGGGGCAGAGTGTTGCTGCCCCCAGCGCCCACCCTCCCGGTGCTCTGGGCTCCGGGGAGGCTGGAGCTGTATGGGGGCCAGGTAGACTGGGGCACACATGGGTGTGCTCCCCCTCCCATCTCTTCCCTTCCTCATAGTGGGGCGGGGCCTTAGCAGAGGGGGCAGAGCTAGAGGTAGGGCTGGAGACCTGCCTCCCCCAAACCCAGCTGCACCGATCGCCCCTGCCCACCTGGGATGGTTTAGTTGGGATTGGTCCTGTTTCAAGCAGGAGGGTTGGACTCGATGACCTTCTTAGGTCTCTTCCAACTCTCTTTTTCTATGATATCTCATCTGATCTCCTCTTGCTGGATTGTAGGCCCCATGACTTAAGAAGGATTACAAACTCCCCTGTAAAACCTTGCATGGAACTAGTGAGGTTTCCAATCATAGAACACTAGAACTGGAAGGGACCTTGAGACGTCATCGAGTCCAGTCCCCTGCCCTCACGGCAGGACCAAGCACCATCTAGACCATCCCTGACCGGTGTCTGTCTGACCTGCTCTTAAATATCTCAGTGATGGAGATTTCACAACCTCTATAGGCAATTTATTCCAGTGCTTACCCAGCCTGACCGTTAGGAAGTTTTTCCTAAGGTCCAACCTAAACCTCCCTTGCTGCAGTTTAAGCCTTTTGCTTCTTGTCCTATCGTCAGAGACCAAGGAGAACAAGTTGTCTCCCTCTTCCTTATAACACCCTTTTAGATACTTGAAAACCACTATCCTGTCCCCTCTCAGTCTGCTCCTTTCCAAACTAAACAAGCCCAATTCT